CAGACACCCTGTACTTCTTCGGGGACAACAACTTCACCGAGTGGGGCCCCCTGTTCCAGCACTACGTGCCCCCTCCCTTCCGCATCCCGGGCACCAGCCCCGCCTACAGCTTTGGGATCGCAGGTGAGAGTGGGATGGGGTTGGGATGGGATTGGAATGGGGTTGGGGACGGGATTGGGACAGGATTGGGATGGGATTGGGCCAGGACTGGGATAAGACTGGGACAGGATTGGGATGGAGTTGGGGATGGGATTGGGATGGGAGTGGGACGGGACTAGGTCAGGATTGGGATGGGAGTGGGATAGGATTGAGACGGGGTTGGGCCGGGATTGAGACAGGATTGGGCCGGGTCTGGGGGCTCTCCCCAGCCCCACCCCTCCGCTCCCACCAGGCTCAGGCTCTGGCGTTCCCTTCCACTGGCACGGCCCTGGTTTCTCCGAGGTGATTTTCGGCAGGAAGGTGAGAGCCGAGCCCTAGGGGAAGGAAGGATTTGGGGAGGGGGCAGAGAAACAAGCCCCTCCCAGGTGTCCCCGAGCCCGAGGGGATGTGGGAAGGGAATTGGGAGGGGAATTGGGAGGGGCTGTGCCCGCGGTGTTTTGCAGCGCTGGTTTCTGTACCCGCCGGATCAAACCCCGCACTTCCACCCCAACGAGACCACGCTGGCCTGGCTCCAGCACACGTACCCCACACTGCCCCCGGCCCTGCGCCCGCTGGAGTGCACCCTGCGCCCTGGGGAGGTGAGGCAGGGCTGAGGGGACCCCGGGCTCCCCAGTCAGAGCCGTGGGACCCCACTGATGTCCCCTGCAGGTGCTGTACTTCCCTGACCGCTGGTGGCACGCCACACTCAACCTGGACACCAGCGTCTTCATCTCCACCTTCCTGGGCTAGGCTGGCAGGGACAAGGACATGTCTCCACTGTGGCAGCCAGGCCAGGAGCTCCAGCTCCTGCCACCCTCAGGGACAGGCCACTGGTATTGGGACCAACTGCCTGAGAAAGTTCTGCTTTTTACTGGTCTTTGCCCTCCCCTTCGGATTAAAGTTGTTCTACTGAAACACTCCCTCAGATGTGTTCCTACATCCCTGGAGCAAACCTGTCCCCATGGGATGGCATCGATTCCCCAGCCAGGATATCCCCAGAAATGGCTGCTGTGAACCACTCCAGATCCTTTTCCATGTTTATTGCTGAATTTTTTTATTCTTTTTATATATATATTTTTTTCTTTTAATGGACATTGGCAAACTTCCAGAGGGCGCTCAAAAGCCAGGCAGGCCATCAGCCGACCGAAACACTGGAATCTCAGTTGGATGCAAATCTGTTGGTTATTTTTTTGTGGGGTTTTTAAAGGGATTTCATTAAAAGGAAGAAGAACTTTAACCCAGGTGGTTGTTCTTGAAGAACCACAGTCCCAGTGGGGAAGGGGAGGTGGGAACCAGCCCCTTCCAGCCGTGGGGCAGTTGTTTCCCAGGAAAAGCCAGAGGGTGCAGCAGCATCCCGGTAAGTGGCTGTTTACAGGGAAGAGAACCCAACCCTGGCCAGGCAGGAGGTGGAAGGAGGAGGAAACAACTCTAAACACAGGGAAGGACGGGGCTCCAGGTGCTCATCCCAGCGAGCCCGTGGCAATCCCTGGAGCGGGCCGTGCTCTGTGGGGACTGTGGCTGCCCTGGCTCAGGGGTGACAGACA